CCTCTCCGGGAAGAATTTCTTCCTGATGTCCCATTTCAATCTCCCTCTTCCAGTTTAAACCCATCACCCCTTGTCCTGTCACTCCCTGTCCTTGGAAAAATCCCCTCCCCAGCTTTCCTGTTGGCCCAGTATAGGATATTTGAGTTCAGTGTGGTGTCCCCTGGATGCTTAGCTGTGGGGGTGGGAGATGTTCACAGTCTTGATTTATCTGGCCAGTGGTGGCTTCTGCTCTGGGAAGGCTTCATCCCAGTTTGCCCTTGTCCTTATTTCCCAGTTCTGATGGTGATTTTCCACCTTCTCCTGGTTCCCATCCCTCCCCATTTTTCCCCTGTGCAGGCACCCCTTCCCTCGTGTGTTCAGCTCCTGCAGCAAGAGGCAGCTGGAGAACTACTTCCAGAAGGGAGGTGGCATGTGTCTCTTCAACCTGCCCGACACCAAGGACCTGGTGGTGGGACGGAAATGTGGCAATGGGTTCCTGGAGGAAGGAGAAGACTGTGACTGCGGGGAGGTTGAGGTACGCTGCTGGGTGCTGCATCACTTTCATGCATTGTCTTTGCAGCTCAGCTGCTCGGTGGCAGGATGTGGACCACGTGGAGAGGGGATTGCTGGTCCCCACAGGGACCCCATCCCAGTCCCACATTCCTAAATCCATTTAACCTGATCCTAGTTTTCTTCTTGACTTTGCCCTAGAATGCTCAGGTCTTTCTCACCCCCTCAGTGCCTCGGTTTCCCCATTGGCAAAACGAGAAGTTCCGTGATGGGGGTGAAGGGGCTGGGGGAGGGCTGGATGGAATCACTGACCGTGGTGGTGTTGTCGTCTCCTCCCCACGCAGGAGTGCACCAACCCGTGCTGCAACGCACACAACTGCACGCTGAAGGAGGGGGCCCAGTGTGCCCACGGTGACTGCTGCCAGAGCTGCAAGGTGAGCCACCCACCACGCCCCTCCACTCGCCCATGAGCCGGGCAGGGAGTTGTGGCCCCCACCATTCCCTCAAACTCGTGTGCTGCGTGTCCGTAAGGTCAAACCCCGCAGTGCCACATCAGGAGGGTCACGTGTGAACTTGTGTCTGCAGGAGAGTCTCTGCTGGCTGCTTCATGGCTGGGGTCTGGCCCAGGCATTTGGCTTTATATAGCCCCATATAGTCCCACAGGGGACATTATAGATGGTCTATGGCCCCAAGCTGTGCCGGGAGGCAGCAGCAATACTGGCCTTTGCTCAGTGCTGATGTTTCTCTCTCCTCCTGCAGCTAAAGGTGGCTGGGACGATCTGCAGGGAAACAGCAGGATCCTGTGACCTTCCTGAATACTGCACGGGTGCCTCTCCCTACTGCCCGGCTAACGTGTACCAGCTGGATGGCTCGTCCTGCGCCTATGGCGAGGCTTACTGCAGCAACGGCATGTGCATGACCCATCACCAGCAGTGTGTCCAGCTCTGGGGACCGGGTGAGTCCCATCAGCCTCCTTGCCACCCTCTCCAGGCCGGGAGCTGCGCTGGGTCTCAGTGTTGCGTCTCTGTCTGCACGTGGGGTCCCCGTGGCCCCTGCCGGTGCGAATAGAGTGTAGTGGGTGGAGGGGTTGTGCTGTCGCCATCTAGGTTTGGGGTCTGCCTCCGTGGGGCTGCTGGGGAGGGCTGAGTGTGCTGTGCATGCACACACACAGCTGTGCACAGCCTGTCTACCCTCTGCCTGTGGCCTCCCATGCTGCATATGGCCCTCCTGCTGCATATGATTAACCATGCTACACAGTGGGGACTTACATCAAAGCTGGGGAGGACTTTTCTCAAGGGCAGGAAGTGACAGAACAAGGGTTAACGGGTTTAAACAGAAAGAGGGAGATTGAGATTGGACATCAGGAAGAAATTCTTCCTGGAGAGGGTGGGGAGGCACTGGCACAGGTTGCCCAGAGAAGCTGTGGATGCCCCATCCCTGGAAGTGTCCAAGGCCAGGCTGGATGAGGCTTTTGGCCTGGCACCTGCAGCAGCAGCTCCCTGGCATGGCTATCATTTCTCCATGAGCATCCAGCTGCTGCTTCTGGTTTTGAGGTTTTGGTGATTCTCCTTGCTGGCCGCTTTCCCCATCCCACACGGGACCATTCCTCCCTCCCTGCAGGTGCATGGCCGGCCCCAGATGCCTGTTTCCAGGACGTGAACATGGCTGGCAACACCTACGGCAACTGCGGCAAAGACAGCCAAGGGCGCTACGTGAAATGTGACAAGAGGTGGGTGTAGCACTGGCACCCGTGGTGAGGTGGCTGCTCCCCACACCTCCCGCCCTCACCTCAGCTGTGCCCTGCTCCTAGGGATGCGATGTGTGGCAAGATCCAGTGCCAGAGCTCAGCTAAGAAGCCCCAGGGGACCAACACCGTCTCCATTGACACCACCATCCGTTTCAACGGGCGGGAGGTGAAGTGCCGCGGCACCTACATGTACACCGCGAAGGACGATGAGGATGACCTCTCTGACCCCGGGCTGGTGATGACAGGGACGAAATGCGGAGATGGGATGGTGAGTACCTCATCCTCAGGCTGGGGTGTCCTCCAGATCATCTCCTTGGCTCTTGTCCCATCTCCAGTGTAGACACTGGCTCTTCTCTGCGTGCCACAGGACGTGGTCCCCACCCAATGCCTCCAGACGTTGCCTTGATGACGTGTCAACTGGCACAATTCTAGACGTCCCCAGATGCATGTGTGCAGGCCACCAAATTCTTTTTTCTGGCTTTCGTGTGCCTTTACCGACTGAATGCAGAGTGAGCAACCCCAGCAGAATTGCACGCCCCAGACTTGATGGATGAAGCTTCCTTCTATGAATAAACTGTTTCCCAGGGGAAAGCTGTGTTAGGATTCAAGATGACAAACAGATGCTGCTACCTGAGCATTAGGATGTTTTTTTCACAGCCCCTGCATCTCCAGGTGGTTTACAGAGGGTCAGTTCAGCCGAGAAAGGGCAGAAACCTGGTGGGCAACATGATGCCAGGGATGCATGCCAGAGCGAGCTGACGGGGGAGATACAGCCTTCGCTGTTTGGCATTTTAATTGTGAAAGTTTCGTCCCAGTTTGTGATGGAAGGCCAAAATGTTGACATTTTCTTGAGGAAAAATGGCTGATTTTGAAATCCAGTGTTGTTTTTTCTTGGCTGGTGCCTGCCTTTTAGGCAAATGGGAAATGCCTTTTCCGGAAGTTGCCAGGTGGGTTGTCAGAGGAGGGGAGTGGTGGTGGCCGGTCTCTTCTGTGCTGTCCTGGATGGGGGAATGGCAGAGGTTTCCTGGACTGTGAGAAAGTGGAAGTGAAACACGTTGACCTGAAACAATACAGTTTAACCAACCTGCATTTTCCAATAGAAAACATCCTTACAGAGAACCCCCATCTGTGAAACCAGAAGATCACTGTCCCCCCTCTCCTGGGCCTTTCCTTAACCTCAGCTTCTTGGCTCTCTTCCAGGTTTGCAAAGACCGCCGGTGCCAGAATGCCTCCCTTTTTGAGCTGGAAAAGTGCGTTTCCCGGTGCAATGGCCACGGGGTGAGTTACTGCCCGAGTTGAGCGCAGATTCTCCAGCGAAAACAAGTGTCTCCCAAGGGATGAGCTTTGCAATGTGACGGGCATCCGCTTTTTACAACTCTCTCGTGCATCAGCTGTGGGTGAGACTGAGCTGACCTGCTTCTCTGTGTCCAAGTTAAGGGAAGAAGATCCTTTGTGACGTAAGGGCCATCTGGAAAATTTGGATTGGGGTCCAGCTTAAACTGGAGAGTGGTTAGAGCTCAGGGCAGGTGTCTGTTCCCTCTCAGAGCAAAGCGAGAGGCAGAAACACAACTGGGAATGCAAAAAGGCAGGGCTGTGGTTTGGTGAATAGGAAGAGCCACCCTTGTCCAAAGCCTAAGGGCTACAGACCTCTGCAGAACGCCGGACTGGTCAGATAAGGCAATGACAAATCTATGGTTTAATGGGAAGATCCCAAGGGAAAGAAAAATGTTTAGCAAACTTTTGGCCTAACACAAAGTATTAAGGGCTTGTCTAGTCAAGCACTGTGAAAACCACGGGTGTAAGATACCTGTCTTCAACGTTTCTGCCGGGAGTGGGGAAATAAAAGTATCAGCAAGAAAATACCTCTGAACATTGCAGTCACAGATTTGAGGGCAACAGGGGCAGGATCTGAGCGATGCTGGGAGTTGGACTAGATGATCTTTGAAGGTTCCTTCCAACCCAAACTATTCTCTGAGGGGTGAAGGCTGCCAGGCATTAAGGTCCTTCATCCCGGATCCTGCCACTGGCCGTCTGCTCTCATCCCCACCCTACAGACCATTGTTTCTGTATGTCCCTCGTCATCTCCAGCCCTCCTTCTCTCTCTCCAGGTCTGCAACAGCAACAAGAACTGCCATTGCGATGCTGGCTGGGCTCCCCCGTACTGCGAGAAGCCGGGCTTGGGCGGCAGCGTGGACAGTGGCCCCGTGCAGCATGACAGTGAGTCACGACCCTTCGTCCGGCACCTTGTGATGCTGGTGGGGCTGGGGCGATGCCGCGAGATGGGGCGATGGGGTGATGAAGCTGCTGACAGCTCTGCTTCCTAATGCACTGGGTCGGCTCCCTTCAGGCAGGCTAACAGCTTGTGCCCAGCTCCGGTTGCATGGTGGCCACCCATTTTTATCCAAAGAGGGAGAGTGGTACTGCTCCTCTTTTGGAGGTGTGATCAGCAGTGATGTCTCTAGCCCGGGTGGCTGGGAGTGGGCAGGTGGGATTGACATTTGCACCGAGTGAAGCCAGAGGCTGCTGGCTGTCCCAGCACCGCGCTCATCTTTGTGCTTTCCCTGCCAGATCACGAAGCCATCTTAATTACCCTTCTGCTCATCTTCCTGCTCTTCCTCCCGGCCCTGATGATGAGCATCTATTTTTGGTACCGGCGGGAGAACTCACTCCTGAATAAATGGTTAAAGGACATGAGGAGGAGGAGCCAGGAGACATACAGGTGGGTGATGAGTCCTAAGTCCCTTCTCTCTTGAGAACCCAGTGAGATCCTGAAACCTTGTTTTCTTGCCACTGGCAGCATCCAGCCTGGTAGGAATGGTTGTGGAGGAGCTGGTGGTGCACAGGGCATGTTTCGAACTGGTGTGAGATAGGAAGAGCTCTCTCCTGCCACAATCTGAGGCTCCCAGCTCTCCCCTGAGCAGAGGATAGGAATGATCCATTGGACAGGACAACCCCAGGGAGTGATAACAAAGGTGACCTGGTACTGAGGAGCTTTCTTACCATCTGCTTCTGGCAGGCTGCAAGAGCTGGAAGGGCTCTGAAGTAGTGCTAATTTTAGATATTCTTCATTATTTCCCCTCCCAGTACAGGGCAGATGCACACAGGCCTCAGAGCCCCTACAGTAACTGGAGAAAAAAACCCAGAACCAACCAACCTACTTCATTGCCCTCATTATCTCAAGACAGGCTTGTCACCCCTACTCACCCAGCACTGCAAGCCTGTCAGCGATCTGTTAATGGAGAGAGGGTCTGGCTGGCACACAGCATTTTGGGAGGCAGCTGTAGCAAAAACGGTTGCTTTATTTTGCCGTTTGTGATCCTGGGCAGGAACAAACCCATCAGTAGGAAGTCAACCAGTGGCCAACCCAAAGCTGCTTTCACCTTGCGGAACATTTCCACTTCCAGCCACGCTAATAAAGTAAGTAATAACTCTTCTTCTGTGCTTGTTTTCCCTGCCTGAGACTTGGAACTTGTGGGTGATCACATACTCCTTCTAGGAACTGGGCTCTGTGCTGGTTTTGCACTGTGAGCCCTTCCTAAAAGTGAGTCTGTTGAGGTGTGCCTGCCCAAAAAGACCACAGTGATGGCCAGGAGCCTCTGGCAGGAAATTGCCCATCCCCTTGACAAAGCTTAGCAGGGCCTTTGCAATCCTGCTGTTGACTTTGTGCTGGGTCTCTGGGGAGACAGGTGCTTCTGCTGCTGGTCATGTGACCTTGGGATGGGTAAGCCCAGGGCTGAATTTAGGAAGAATTTAGGTTTTTTTGAGCATGGCCACAGTGGCTGCGAGTGGGGAAGAATGGATGATGTCTCCCATGTGGTGGAAATCTGGTATGGATTCACCGAAGCTGGCGCCCTGGTTCAGATCTCCTGAGCCCAGCACCTTTCTCATCCCTCTGTGCTCTCATACGGCTAGCGAGGAGCAACCGTGTTCATTTTTGGGGTGGGATGGTGAAAGTGGTGGTCCCAGAAAGTAGAATAAGTACCCAGTGCTCCTCCTGCAACTCCCTAGCCCCCAGACCTTGAGGAGACATCTGCTCTTCAGCACCCAGGAAAACGCACCTAAGGATTTTTTCCATCCTTCTGCTTTTCTCCTCCCTGCAGGCAACGCAAGCTGCATTCCCCCTGACACCCAGCGCTCACCAGCCTGGCTCCCAGCCTGTCAACATCGTCCACCCTCTTCGCCCAGCTGCCCACTCCATCCCTCTGCGCCCAAAAGACTCCAAGCCTCCCAGGCCACCTCCACCAGCCAGCAAATCGCACATGGTCCCCACCAAAACGGTTGTCTCCCAGGCTAAGCTGCCACCTCCAAAGAAACCTCTTCCCTGCAGCCCCGTGAGGACCCCACTGGTGAGCTTTGCTGGTTGGCTGTGCTTTCCTTCCTGACTCATAGAAATTCCCTGGATTTTGGCTGCCTGTGGCTCTTTTGGGTTGGGCACTGTTAAGGAAGTCTCACGCCAACCTAGGAAATGAATCTGTTGCAAAGCTCATTAGATAATGACAATAATGTAATGTTGTTTGGGGGGTGTCGTTACATGCTTTGAAGCGACTCGGCTCTGTAGCAGGAGAGAGGTTTGTAGGAGGTCACTGGGGTACTTTTCTAAGGATGTTAGGAGGTCATTGAGGTGCTCCTCTAAGGTCGTTGTCTCTCCCCATACACTTTGTGATCCCAGGTCGGCCCAAAGCACCAGCCTCCCCTTCGGCCTCTGCCTGGAAGTCCTCTTCTGGCCAAATCGCTGCCTCCCGCACATGGACAGACCCTGCTGGTCATGGTCCCTCCTACCAACTTCAAGGCGTTGGGTACGAGTGCCATGAGCCACCCCACGATGCCATTAAAGTAAGCCGAGAGGGGAGTTGAGGTACCTCCCACCACTGCTGAGGTCCTGAAGGGGGGCACCGTGGGGGGGTCCTGTGGGTCACGTCTGGGTGGGACATCCCAAATGTCACTGTGGTGTGCTGTGATTGTGGTGTCTTCACCGTGACCTGGGTTTCTGCTGCTCCTCCTCAGTGTGGCTGGTGTGGTCAGGTCAGGCTGCTGAGGAGCAGGAGAAACACTCTGTGCTCTGGAGGTCTGTACCTGCTGCTGTAGCCACAGAGGGGTTTGAAGCCCACCAGCTTTGAGGTAACTGGCCTGTAGGGCACTGGGGATCTTTGGTATGGAGCATTTGGGGGCGGCAGATAGGAATCAAGGGATGTCCCAAATCCTGCTGCCTGGGGAGCAGGAGATGGAGACCCTGTGCCCATAAACGACCCTGTGCCAGTGGTCCCTCTTGCAGGGTGCAGGAGAAACCCTGCCCACCAGAGGAAGGTACCTGTGGGGGTCTGGGGTCTTCAGACATGCCTCCACCTGGCAGGAGCCTGCAGGGTTTGCCCAGAGTTGGCCAGTGGTGACCAAGGTTGGGAATTTGGGACTTACAGGGTCCTGATGGGTTAATAAGAGAGATGCCATCTTTTGATGGGTGCGTATGGCCCCCCCATCCCAGAGCACAGAGAGGGCTGTTGGTGAGCTGCTGTGGGACAGTAGAGAGAAGGGATGGACATTGATGCTCTGTCTTGTCTTTCCTCCCTACAGACCGATGCCACCTCAAAGGTGAGTCAGACACCGCGCAGAACCGTGGGGGGATGTGCTTTGCTGCTTGTGGGTGGGTGGCCGTGGGTTAAGAACTGGGATGGGACCCAAGAGGCTGGGGGTTAAATGTCCCCCTTCCCAGAGGCTCTTAGATGAGCGGGACACGGCCCCTGTGGGTACCAAATGATAGCAGGCATTGGGTGCCTGAGTCCAAGGGAAGGGAGGACATCAGGCTTTCCAGTTCAGAGCTGGGGGATTCAGTCTAAAAGTCCTTTAAAATATTGCTGCTGCTTTCAACTCTTGCTGTACTGCAAAATTCTCTGGAATTGGGTCAGTGGAGCTGCAGGGGATTGCACTTGCAGTCTTGCTAGCCAGGCTGTGGGCCGTGGAGAGAAGGTACGACACTGGCCCTCATCTCTGGACAGTCTGCTTTACTAATTACTGCTTTGACCCTCTTGGACCATTTTAGATTCTTACACCTTTGTAGTTGCCACCAGAAGAAGGCTGAATACGGCCCAAAACTTTTCAGTGTGACTAAATCCCTATAGCTCATCTCTTCTAGCAGACAAGGTGGGCCTTGCTGTGGTCCCAAAAAAGAAAGGTTTAGTACATCCCAGCAGCTAAACATGGCTCCCTCCCCAGACAGCGCGGTTTCGTCCTTGCTGCCCTCCTGGCCATCTTCTCTTGAAACAGTGCCCATGTCAGAAAGCATTAACTGGCAGGGCCAGACTTGTGCTGAGGAGCAGGACATGCCACTGTCCCAATCCGGATTCATTACTAGACACCAGAAAAATGCTAGGAGAGGGCTAGGCAACTGTTGTCTTTCCTGGATGGATGAGGTGAAGGATTTAATGAATTCCCAGGATGGACTGTAGGTCCCGTATCGGGTTGGTTGATCTGGTGATGTCTCTTGGTAGTGCACAGACTTCCTTGTCTGTTTGTGGGAAGCCAAGAGCAGTCACCCCTTGGGGAACATCACTCCCAGAGCTGGTTGGCTCCCAGTTCTCACTGCCAGTTACTGCCCAGTGCTGCCATGTGCTTTGAAGGGCTACATCCTAGCAGGGTTTTGAGGGTGCATCAAAGGAAAACACCTCAAAGCAATACAATTTGGGGTTGTGTTTTTGAGAGGGGACATGGGTGACCATGACAGTCCCAGGTCCCCTCTGGTCTTGGGGACAGAAGCTGGCCTGTCTTCTCTGAGCGGTGGAAGGATGGTTGTGGTGGAGGTGGTGCATGCTTGGTCTTTGCGCTCGAATGAGTTGTCTCCTTTCTCTTTCTTCTTCCTCTAGGCCGGTCCCAGCCATCAAAATCCAATCAACCTCCTTCCCCTTGAAGAAGTGACAAACCAAGGACACCTTAAGCCCACCTTTCCTGAGCTGGCTCTCCTGATTTGCACTGCTGCTGGCGACAGGGGTCTTTTTATTCCTCTCTTGTTTTATTTGTATTTTGATATCAGAGGGCTATTTTTATAAGACAGAATCTGTATTCAGCACAAAAACTGTAGTGGTGGGTGGGGGAGGAGAGGGGAAATCGGTACCATGACATAACTAAGGGTTGAGGTGCACTGACGGTGGGGTTGCCACAACAGAGGCTCCACCACAGCTCCTGGCATCTCTTCCTGGCCAATTTACCTCCCAGCTTTAGTTTCTTCTTGACATTGCACATGGGGCTGGGGTGGGGTGACTTGGGGTCAAGTGAACATCCAACACTGACGGAAGATGCTGATGACAATGGCAGTGAAAGCCGTGTAATATCCTTATAGCTACCTCCTCCTTCTCCTCCAGGCCTGGTGAGACACCACCACCACCCACTGCCACCCGAGTTCAGTGCTGGGCATTGTGTCCGGAGAGACCTTTGCCATGAGGGAAAAGCGGTTTCCAGTCTGGACTCTGCCACACAGTGCTGGCACATTTCCATGAAGGCTCCAAGTTCTCAGGCTCCTCCTGGCCTCCTGCCTGGTTGCACAGGAAAAAAACCAGTGACAATCCTGGGGTTTTACCTGGAAGGAGAAGCTGTCTGGGAAATGGTTTAGTGTCTGAAGTACTGGTGGCAGCTGGTTACCAGGGTGCTTTCAAGGGGCTCAGGAGCCCTACATAAACATTGCATCTTTCCTGCTCATGGGGCAAGCCCAGCAGTGGCTCTGTGAGCTGTTGGCACTCTGCTGTCCAAAGGAGGAAGGAGCCACAAGCCGGGAACAAGAGCAGGAAGATGTTCTGCCTGTGCCATTGGCTTGCCCAAAGGCCTTGGCCAAGCCATTGCATTTCTCTGTGCCTCAGTTCCTCCCGTCTGTAAAATGGGGGGTGATACCTACCTCACAGGGGTGTTGTGAGGTTTAACAAACCCATGTCTTGAAAGGGCTTTACAATCCTCAGATGAAAGGTGCTGTTGACCTGCACAGTACTGTACCGTGCCACTTTCCTGTGACTTGACACATGGCTCTGCAAGGGTCTGAAATGAGAACAAAGGCTTTGTACAGTCCCTTGGCTCCTCTGACTCTTTTCTTGCCCAGAAGTTCCCTGAGCCCTTTGTCACCAAGGTCTCTGAGTCTCCCACCACACCAGTGCAAACACATCCCTGGAACCCCTTCTGTTAGCCCTTACACCTGGGATCATTCAGTCCAACTGTGTGTGACATGTCAACTACCCGGGGGTAGAGCCCTGGCCTAGGCCAAATATTTCTGGGATGTGTCCAACTAATGTGAAAGTTGGACATGATGTAGGCTCAGGGATAATCCTCAGGAAACTGGTCTGGTGTTTCGTTAGCACCCAAAACAGGCTGCTAATTGCAGATTTTGGTTAAGGCCACCTTAACCTAAACTGTCCTTGCTCTCATATGATCAGGTTTTGTTTTGAAGTCTTTGGTCATGTGCATGGGCCTTCCCTGAAGCTTTTCTCTGTATCTTTCTTGGTTGGTGGATGTAGGACCCTCGTACTCTGGTAAGTCACAGAGTCATTTAGGTTGAACGGGCCATCTTGAGATCATCCTCGGATGGCCTCCACAGGACAGGATAAATGAACCAGTCCTTAACCCTTCCCAGGGTCATATTCTTTTTAGTGGTCTCCTAAGGACTTCTGGCACGGTCAGACTGGAGGAAGTAACTAGAGAGCATATGGAGAAGGGAAAGTCTGCTTTGTGCCTGAATGCCCTCCCTCCTACTGTCCAGTATAGGTGTTAGCAGAGGGTTAAAGTTGGGAGAGCGTTTGGAGAAGTCACTGCAATGATGAAGTGGTTGGAAAAACTTTTCTCAATGAGTTGGACCATTTAGCTTAATGACAAAGTGAGGGATGACAGCACTGTAGACAAAAAAACATCTTACTTTGGGGCCAGCAGTTGAATGATCGCATCAAGCTGGTGTGATGTCCCTGGGCTTGGATTCTGGCCCATTAATGTCACCTGCCTGGCCATCCTGCTCCCCTTTGTTTTCTGCTGTTCCCAGTGGGGAAAGATGGGGAATTTACCCTCTACAGTTATCCAAACTTCACCACTAGTGCAGAGCCAGGACATGCACATTTAGAGGCTAAATTTGAGCTATTTAGGCTGGAAATGAATTGATAGAAACCTCAGTTTCTGATCTCAGGGATCCTGTGAAGATGTACCAGACTAAGGCTCTGCTCAGCAGCGCAGTAACTACCCAAACCTGATGTTTTCTACCTTCTCAAAGAACCTTTCTGTGCCTGGGAGATGTCCTCGCATGCACCAGCAGATTTTTCTTGTGGCAGGCTGACCGTGCCGTGGTGCGGAATGACCCATCGCATCCTTTTTGCCCAGGTGGAGCAGCAGTGCTGAGAACAGCCCTCCCAGTCTACATGCCCAGACCAACCCAGTCCCTCTACTCGTGAGCTGTAAGCTTGCTCCCCTCTAGGAGCAGAGGTACGAGGGGCTTGTAATTCAGGGGTGATGCACAATGATCTGTTTGCTGGCTCTGTCTAACCTGAGATGGTCCCAGGGAATGCAGATAGATGGTGTCCATCCTGATGCATCCGCAAACATAAGATATGCTCTGGGGGTCCATGGGATGGGCAGAACATGAGGCCTGGGATGAATCCAAGGAGGGATTTCGGGTGTTCAGATGACACTAGGTGGCAGCAGATGAGCACGACATTCTCTGCTCAGCATTACCTCTAACTTGTTGCTGGCATTTCCAGGGACCAGATCTTCAAGAGCAGCTTTTCTCTTTGCTCCTTCTCCTCAGGATCTCCATCCTTTGCAGATGATTTGCCCCATCATCTGCAAATCCATTAAAAGCATGAGATTAAAACCATGCTTTTAATTCACAGTAGCATTTTGGAAGGCCGGATGGATCCATCTCCTTGGTCCTTCTAATCTGATGTCTGATTTCTGACAGCAACAAGACCCAGACGTTTCAGAAGACAGGTGGAGCAAAGCCCAGCTCCTTTCAGATTTCAGCCTGATTCCCGGTGGAGCCTGGTGACAGGTCTTTGCTCTGTCCTGGTATAATTGCCTTTATGCTCTTCAACCCTCCGGCGATGGAGAGCCCACACTGCTCCAGGGAGCATCTTCCTTTCTGCCAGTAGTACAGACATTTTCCTCAGCTTCAGTCCAGTTTACCAGTCTCTGTCTTCCTCCTGCACTGAGATGCTCCAGGTCCTGTGCAAAAGATGGAAGTTACACTGGGGTAACTTGGGTGAACCCGCTCCAGCGGTTCCTCTTTCTCTGCACAGCTGCTCTTCGCTTGCTGCCTCTCATTGCCCCCAGCATCCTTGCAAGACTTCTGAGGTCCCTGCACGTCAGGCACTTTGCAAACAGCAAAACTGAGAGCTCATGATCCAGCCTACTATGGAATTACTAGGGGCCTCTGGGCTTTCTGGATGCTTTCACTATTAGTGGGGCTGATCAAGGGGTGTAGGAGTGTGTGTGTGGGTGTTTGAACATCTCCCAGGCTTCCTTTTAACAGAGTGGCCTCCTTGTAACTAAACATCCAGGCAATCGTGACAGGCACAGCCTCGACCCTGGAGAAAGGTCCTGCCAAGCTGGCAGGGCTCATGTGGGCCCATTCTGGAGATGTGACACCATAGGGGAACAGCACGAGGGGTGCTGGCTTCATCCCAGTACTGGCAACTCCCCTGCCCGAGGCTGTCAGTCACAGGCAGACCTGGCCCGTACACTGGTCCTGCATCTGAGGCCGGACTGATGTAGCTCACTGGGAGGACCACACCACGCTCTGTGGATGTCCGGCTCTGGAGTAGCTGTTCCAGCATGTTAGTGGGCTCATTGGGATTGGCAGCTTTTCCCTATGGAACAGAAGCAAATCCAGGTTGCAAAGGGACTCAGGACTGTACCTCCCTGGCCATTCTGGGTGGTTGCTGTTACCCGCTACATGTGGGATGAACCTGGCAAGATCTGGCCCTTGGACAAATGGTTGGCTCTGGTTGAATTCTCAGTTCTCCTCAGTCTGTGATATGGAGCCACTGGTCCATCCTCTGTCCCACCCCTGCCCTGTCCTGCCCAGTCACCCTGGGGTGCCATGGCAAGAGCTGGATCCTGACCCACAGCAGCCCCCCTGGCCTGCTTGGGCTCTTCAGGGGTTTCCAAGGGATGAAGTGGGAGGTGGAGGAAGCGCCAAAACAGGGGAGAGTCCCCAGTGATTGAATGGCTCCCAATGAGCTTTGGGAACTGGGGGGGGCTTTTCTGGAGCACACTGGGGAAAACACCTTGGGACAAGAAGTGTCCTTGGCTCCCTGGAGTCTGAATTTCAAGGTGCATGAAGTTTGCACTGAGTTCATTTTGGGTGTCCTGGCACCAGACGGGCTCTGTCCCCCGGGATACAGCATGAGGTGACACTGCTAGCGTAAAATGTAAACCCACCTTTTTACTTGACTCACTTAATGCTGCATCCTGGGGTGGGAGAGATGAGGGACATGGACACCCGAACTGGGAGCAGGCAGGCAGTGCACTGCCAGGCATACAGAGCTGCAGATAGGTGCATGCACAGAGCCAAAGGAAAAAAAAAAAAAAAGAAAAAAGGGGAAAAAAAGGCAGTGAAGCAGTTAATGAAGAAGCTGCTGCAGCCGAGAAAGTTGAACCATTCATCATCTTCCAGTGCCTTTCCTTTTCCTTTATTTGTCTTTGGCAGAAGACGATTGCTCTCTCCACCCCTTACTGCCGTTCAGGGGCTGATAGCTCTCTCTCCTTGGAGCCAAGAATGGTCCCATTAAAAATGAAAATACAAAGCACAGCTTGATTTTAATTCACTGCGTCAACATTTTATATAGAGAGAGAAGAGAGAGAAATAAATTTCTAATATTATACACACACACGCTAAAGACAGAGGTCCTGTTGAGTGCTGTCACTGAAGTGTTGCCTAAAGCTGATGTCTTATCTCTCTCATTTCCAAGTATTTCTTAAAGAAGTGGCTGTCTTTCAAGTCCCAGCCCTATGAAGTACAAAGCGAGCTTGGAAACGGAGCACTTTTGTGTC